GCACTGATGTCTGCTAAGCCCTTCTTTTCTCTCTCTCTCTCTCTCACCTCTCCTCTCTTCCTACAGCCACTGCCTCTCATTGGTGCTAAGCACTTTACACCCTCCTCTCTTTAAATCTGTCACAACCCAGGGCGACTGAGATTATTATAATCCTCATTTCACAGATGACGAGCCAGGCTTGGAGGGGCTCCGTCTCCTGCCTAGGGTCCCACGGAGGATGAGCGAGGACTCACGCCCAGTTTAGACTCTGCCACGTGTCATAGTGCTTCCTCTGCTTTATTCTTGTGTCCATTTCTTCCTTCCTTTCTCCTGCCTAGGCGTTAGGCCTGCCGCGGTAGCCCCACAGAAGCAGCTTTGCCCCCGCTGATACAGCTCAGGGCAAAGGGGTCGCTCATGGCTGTTCCACAGCAGAGTGAGGACTTGAAGCAGAAGGCAGGCGGAGCTCAGAGAAGGCTGCAGGTGATTAGAGGAAGCACCTCCAGTTCTTCAAAGATCACTTTCCCACGGAATGATAGGGCAGGATGAGGTTGTGGTTGGGAAGCTGAGTTTAACACATTGTTTTCAGGCAGGACCATCAAAACCACTCCTAAGAGATGACCATCTCGCTTTAAAGTCATCCCCGAGTCATCCAGGGTTTGAGGCACTTAGAGAGGCAAACACCCTCAGCTATCTTGGCTGGAGGTCTCTCCCTAGGGGTGACAGAGGCTGTCGGGCTGTGCCTGAGGCATCTCCCATATGAGGTGGGGTCTTTGGCCTGGAAGAAGCGCTGAGATATCTCCTGAGGGTGGTCATTGGTGGTTCTATTTCAGCCCCATCTCCAGGGAGGATCTCCCCCGAAGCAGTGGCTCTTGCTGTGGTCCTGCCTGTCCTGGGCCTTCTCATCATGGTGGGCATTGGCCTCATCTGGAAGCAAAGACGATCAAAAGGTAACTAAGTGGTAAAGGAGCCGGGGTGGCAGGCAGTGGGACTGTGACTTCTCTAGGAAAAGGCTGGGGGGAAGGAGACATAGATATGACGGTTATCCATAGGTTGGATTCTCTGCAGATTGTCTGGTAGAACAATGCTCTGGGGACCCCTAATGCAGAGAAGATCAAAGAAACTGCGGAAAGTTCCTGGAAGAGCTGTGAATTCTCAACTTCTGAGAAATTAAAAATAACTGATCATGCCATTCCTCTAATTAATTTTTAAAAATCCAATTCTATCCATTGAATAAAACCCCCATCAATATAATTGCATCTCACGGGATCTCAAGGAGGATCTCAAGGTTGAATGGCACCTAATCCGGGAGGTAAGGGAGGCCAGGGGATTGTCAAGGGCGGGGGAAAAAAAGGACACTTATGTAATACCCTTTGTAATACTTTAAGCAATAAAACAATTAAAAAATAAATAAATAAAATGATTCAAGTAAATCCATAAGTATATATATAAAAAAAGAAAGACACTTAATCCAACACCCCTTTTCCTATTTGATGGTTTGAAGACCCTCTAATCCTTTCAAATGGTCACAGACCTGCAGGGACAAGGAGCAAAGTCCTCTTCAGACAGCTTGTTGTCCCCGGACAACTCTGCCTGTTAGAAAAAGCTCTTCCTTAAGCTGAGTTGATGTCTCTCTCCCCCTTCCAGAGAAGCTGCTCTATGAACAGGCGATGGAGGTAGGTAAGTGTCCTGAGATGGGGGGGATATTTCTCAGTTTTACTCATTTTTATGACTCCAGTGTCCACTAATCTAAATTCTATACCAGAAAATCCCAACATCTGTTGTCCTTGGTGGCAGTGTTTGCTGACTCTGACTTGTAATAGCTTGTCTTTCAATATGTTTGTTGAATTTTGTCTGTGGACTCATTGCTTGATCTT